GGGGCTCACAGCGAACAGCGGTTGCACGGCAGAGGTTGTTCGCGACACTCTTTTAGAGGCGTTGGCAGCATTTCAGCACTGAGTGGAAGCAAAGTACTGAAAGATGAGCCTACGAAGTCACTGCAGGTACAAGTAGTCCGAAGTGTTTCCCGTCTGAGATGCTTCAACTATCGCATTGTAAGGAGATGCAGAGCCCTCAGACTCGTACCCGAAAGTCACGGACTGTGGTTTCATTTTGCTTTATCTGATTGACTTTTTAAAATGAAAATAGGGTGGTTGTTTGGATAGTTTGTTTTCTCACAGTTGCTGCTCATGCAATTAACATTTAATAGTGTATATAGCAGGGAAAGGTTAATACAGGGACTTGACAATAGCTAATTATGCCTCTTTAGTAATATCTCTGAGTAACTGTGTGTCATCCTAAACCATTTGAGTTAATAAAAAAAAAAGTAAAATGTGGTAACAGCAATGTTAGCTCAGTCAAATTAGGAAGGAATTCTTCCCTGTCAAGGGGGTGAGAAACTGGCACAGGTTGCCCAGAGCAGCTGTCTCTGCTCCATCTCTGGGAGTGTTCCAGGCCAGGTTGGATGGGGCTTGGAGCAACCTGGGCTGGGGGAAGGTGTCCCTGCCCATGGCAGGGGGTGGAATGAGATGGTCTTTAAGGTCCCTCCAACCCAAACCAGTCTGGGATTCTGTGAAATCAATGCTTTCTACAACCTTCTACTAAATTAAGTATCCCACCTTGTAGAAATATACACACTTTTATAACTCTGATTTAGGATAGTCTGGAGATGTTTGCAGCCACTTGAACTTCCCTTGCTCAGTTTAAAATGGTCCTTAAACCTTACAAGTCACCTGAGTTTTCATCTCTAATTCTTCATTCCCTTTTCCATCAAGTTTCTTTTCTCATTCTATTTGCAGCTTTGCTTGACTTTGGTTTTGATTTTAAAGCCTAACTAATAATGAAAATAGCATATAGCAAAATATTTATTTGGGTTTTTCTCTCTGTATAGTTTTGCTTTCTGTCTTTCCCTTGATTAGTCTGTATATAAGGTTTTCAGAACTGTTTCCTGTTGTTTTTGCAGTAATCTGGTGCTATGAGACATTACCTTAATTGGTTTCTGGGTGCAGTCATGAGTAACTCAAATAGTGCAAGTGGGGGCTGGAGTTTGTCATTTCTTGTGTGCCAATACTATTTCTTTTCTTCACTCTTCAGCTTTGAGCCTTTCACTGTGCTCCTGTGCTATGTCTGATACAAATGTATCCTTGTCTGACATCTTAGAAGTAAATTTCTTCAGAATAATCCCCCTCACTTTTCATTTCCTTTGATGCTTTATGTTTGTGATGTGTTGTCATGTGTGAGCGAGACACATCTTAGAGATGTTTTTGGAAAGTGTTCTGTAAATTAATGGCTGAACATAAAGGCATTGTGGTAGGATCATGAAATCACCAGCCAATATCATGTGGTGAAGGTGAATGTCCTAGAGGAATTCTGAGTCTCTTCTGACCTAACCACCTAGCAGGATTGTATGAATTTGTCCATGAGATCTGTCCATATACTATATTGAGTGATAATTCAAGTTTGTCTTGAACACAGAAGTGAAAGTGTTGAGATAATTTGACTTTATTAGGCTTTCATTTAGGAAGAAGTAAAACTCCAAGCTAGGAACAATAGCTGTATAAAATACTCTGAGTGATTTCTGAATAAATTTTATGAGGTTTCAGGTCATAAATTTCCACTTCAAGTAGAATTCCAAATAGATTCTGCAAACAGAGGAGGAATTTATTGCCTGAAGTGTCAGATTTATTCTTACCATCTAAAATGTGGAATATGGGGAAGGGTTCTTGGCTCTGTCAGGTGAGGAACAAACCATTGTGGACTTTCAGGTCAGGCACTGCTGAATGTGTCTTTAAAAACACCACACCAGAGTGAGTTGCAGGTCACTCCTGCAGGCAACTTCTCGCTCCCTAATTTTAGATTCCCTTCTGAAGAAAATGCTTCCCAATGGTGGAAGATGTGAGGAGTCTTGGTGGCATATCTCCATCTACCTCTAATCCTTTGCGTCTTTGGGAAGCCTTTTTGTCAGTACATGCTTCAGTTGCAGTTTAAAAATCAGACTGAAAATGAAGATGTAATTCTCAATGTTTGACATGGGTTTATAAACTAAAATTAAAGTGCTTCATATGTTGAGTTTCATAGTTTCATCGTTTTCTAATGTTCTGCTAAAATGGAATAATAACTTACAATATTTGGTTTAACTGATACATAGATGGAAAGATCTTAAGAGTGTCTTACCAGTTGGAAGACTGAGCTGTTTTCTTCCCTCGGTAAGAAATGGGAAATGTAACATTTACATAAAATCCAGGTACAGACAGATTGCTGCACGAGTCTGTCTGTGAGTCTGCCTGGTTGCTTATGCCAGACTTGGAGATGGGAGTCCAAAAAGCATGCAAAAAGAACATCCTTATAGACAACACAAGTCCCACTCCTAACTTCACCATAGATAAAAACCCAAACAAACCCATTACCTTTAATTAAAAGAGTTCTGGTTAGAGAACATGTTAAAACTGCCCTGAAAAGATAAATATTGCAGATTAGCATCACTCTTCATGTAGGTGAAAATGAAACCCTGGTGTTCTTAAGCATATTTGTTTTCTGAGGAGATGTGATATCTGTCTGGCCATATATGCAGTGGTTTGAAAATTGAGGCTGCTTAGGTGCTCACACATTAAGAAGAGATTTGAATTCTTAATAGCTCTTCTCTTTCAGCTATAGGGAATGTTCCAGTGCTGTGACTGAAAGATACATTCCATTGGCATGGGGATAAAGATTTTTTTACCTTTCCTGCATGTGGTAAAGTATTTTTTTGGCTCTTAGTAAGTTTTATGCTTTGTTTTTGAAGTATTTTTTAATTGCAAACTTGTTAGAGACCAGCCCTTGTGACACTGTTGATCCTTTGCTTTATCTGAAAATCTGGTTTGGGTTTCAAGGTGGAAGTGCTCAGAATAAGAGTTCTGCACATAGAATCATAGAATCAACCGAGTTGGAAAAGATCTCAAAGATCATCGAATCCAACCCTACTGTGGTTACTAGACCATGGCACTAAGTGCCACATCCAGTCTCAGCTTGAAAACCTTGAGGGATGGTGAATCCACCACCTCCCCAGGCAGCCCATTCCAATGTCTGATCACTCTCTCCCTAAAAAATCTCATCCTAATATCCAACCTAAACCTCCCCTGGCAGAACTTGAGTCTGTGCCCTCTTGTCCTGGGAGAAGAGACAAACCCCCACCTGACTCCAACCTCCTTTCAGGGAGTTGTAGAGGGTGATAAGGTCTCCCCTGAGCCTCCTCTTCTCCAGGCTGAACACCCCCAGCTCCCTCAGCCTCTCCTCATGGCACTTGTGCTCAATTCCCTTCACTAGCCTCGTTGTTCTTCTCTGGACCTGCTCCAGCACCTCAATGTCCCTCCTGAACTGAGGGGCCCAGAACTGAGCACAGGATTCAAGGTGTGGCCTCACCAGCACCAAGTCCAGGGGAGGATGTAGAATTTCTTTACATGTAGATGTAAAGAAATTTCTTGGTACTCCTTATTAAATTAGGAGCCCAGTTCTCCCCTCCTGTATAGTCCCACTGCTCACCTTGGGCCTGTGTACAGTGAAAGTCAAGACTTGTCCTTTGGTTTCCAATTTTCTGAGAGCTGTTGCCATTTCCAGCCTCAGTGGAGCAATGAACATTGCCAGTTAAGAGGAAAATTTGCAGGTGAAATGCCGTGCCTGTTTTTGGAGGCATCTCACAAGAGAAATGAAAGTTTAGTATTTTTAGCAATAGAGAGAAAGATTTGCTCCAAGTTCTTCTATCCTTACCTGTAGTTCCTAGTAATAGTCATCTTTGGTTTTGTTAATTCCAACAGATTAATTTTGGGTCAGTAATATAATACTGGAACTGTAAGCTTCTTCCCAGCATGGTAATTCTTCATTCTAGTGTCTCACTGGGGCAGTTTTGTGCAGCTGAATTTGCATTTTCAAAATAAGTTGAATAATGGTAGTGTTAACTCTAAAAATGTGTTGTTCTTTTGTACCTTCCCAGTTCAGTAACAGCAAAATACTTCATTTCTAGGTAACTTAGAAGAGAAATGCCCAATGGTGCTCCTGTGTCTCTTGCTGGATAAAAATAACCTGGAAGCTGATTTGCAGTGAATAATCAGTGAAGACACGCAGCATTTTCTGGAGTATTGGATATTCTCATAATGAAGATCTCTCTCCTGCAGCAGATGTATAAGGATGTACTGGGAGGCATTCCCCTGGCAAAGGAAAGCCAGCATTATTCCTCCTTACTTCATCTCTGTGCTGAGCAGTCGCCAGGAGATGAATCCTGTCATGGGATACATCCATCTGCTGATGGTGGTATTGGGAGCCACCAGGACACTGGTCTGTCAGATGAGGTTGTCCCTGCACCAGATGATTTATCAAACAGCTTTGCAAACATGAGCTCCTCATTCTGCCCACGAGAAGTGCTGCTGCTTCAGCTAACCTTGATCAAGATGATGGTGGCTAAAGCAGAGTCCCAGCAAATTGAGCTCAATACGAGACAAAAGTACCGGGAAATCTTCATCCTTCTTTTGAAGGAGGCACAAATCGACTCAAAATTGGTAAGATATGGTAAACTTCTGAAAGATTTTTGTGAAAGAAGGAAAAGTGAAAAGAAATTTGTCTTACATACTTTTCCTTTTCCATGTTTCCAGATTAGCCTGCTGAGTCGCAGTGATCAGCTGTTATCTCACATGGCTTCACGATGTTTAGCATCTCTGGTGTATTTCCAGCTGAAGGAAGAGGTGAGTGTGGCAGAACTTCACAGCTCACAAAATGACTTAGTGAACAGGTACCTGCAGGTTGTTCTGTTTGATTTTACAACCAAGACTTGACAGTGTTTATGTTTTCCAAGAAACTAAGTCTCTTGTGTTGGGAGGGGCCTGGAGTATGGAAAGCAAGGAGATCAGGTGTGTAACAGAAGTGTGGAATGTCTTTATAAACGTCTGATATTGTATCGAATTCTTTTTAAGATAAAATGTGTCTAGATGACAAGAAATATTCTCTTTAAGATTGCAATACCTTATATATAAGTTATATTAGAGTGTTAGGTTATATAAGGTTTCAAAACAGGAAAAACCTTCATAAGTTTTCACAAAAGTAATGCTCTAGATTATCAATATTTTTACAGTTCTTTGATACCTGTTAGCTGATGCAGTAGATAACAACAGGTAATATCTTCTTGGAAGCTAATCAAATACTTTTCTGTATTTCCTTCTTTGAATATTCCAGTTATTTGAGGATTATTTTCACTTGCTGTATATTTGGTGAATATATATTGCAGCCTCTGTAGTAGCCTCTCTGAATGTGGATATCTCTCAGGATTGTCTGTCTACAGCATTATCTGATTTTGGGTGGATGACACGACATTAGGAGGTTTCGTTTTCCCTTCCTGGAAAATCACAGATAATTTCTATTGCATGAGTATGTGACTTCATGTTGTAACTGGAGGCTGAAGTACTTTAAAGGTCCTGGACAGAGAGATTGTTCCTACCTGAGTTTTGTCTGTGCCTACATTTGAATCTTTTTAATGCACAGTATTAAATCATTGTATTATGATTTAATTCACCTTGCATAACAATTGTAAAGCGTCAGGTACATGATTTGTCTTTCCAACTGTTTTTCCTAGAACGCGTTGAATGTCACGTGGCTCACCTTCAGCTTGAACGCTCTGTTGGGATTCCCTGGGAATGCCCAGGTGGCTGTTTGCCTGTGGACTCTCACGGCCGTTATCCAGGAGACCCTGAGAGACGCAGCTCTGCCCAAAGCAGGTACAGCCCCGTGTGGGGATGTACGACACGCGGGGCCGCCAGGAGGAGCAGTGCTGCCTGGAATCCTCCTGGAGCCTCTGGACACCTACTGCCTTCCTTGTGCAGAGGGTGACAAAGAGCTGTTGAAATGTAGTAGTTGTAACATGCTTAAAGTCCGAAAGCAGTCACAACACCTTTTTGCTGCTTGTTTGCTGATTTAGCTGAGTGTTACACTGCAACTCATTAAGGTGCTTCTTGTTGCCATAGGTGCTTTGAAGAAGTTGCTGGCTCCTCTTGATGCTGTGCTTGAAGGATTTTATAACGCCATTCTGCTCCATAATTTTCACAGTCATCGCTATACTTCACCTTATTCTGAAGCTACAAACAATCTGATCAGTTTTATAGACCTGCTTGAAGCACTTCTGGCTTCCAGAACTGAACTGGAATCACCACTCAGGTGCCAGAGAGTATTGTTTTTGAAAGTTTCTTATGTCCTGAACCTGATTAGCTCATCAATTCCCTATTTAATCAAGAAGAAATTAATTATGCTCCTTAAAAAATGTGTTCTTTATGAATCTAGAGAAGATACTAAGAGTGGATCACTGTCCTTACAAACCCCATCTTTATGTGAGGATATGCTTGCACTGAGTAATGCTGTCCTGCAGGTTGTGAGTTTGACCTGGCTTAATCAGATCCCACTGAGTGACAAGACCAGCTACTTTGGAGGCAGTGAATCTGCTCCTGCAGGTGACACTCAGGGTGCTTCTGACCAAACTGTTCTCAGAGCCTTAAGCCTGGTGGTGCTTAAAGCACTGGAATTCAAGATTCACAGCTCTGTGGCAGAAGCAGAAATCAAAGGTAAGTCCTTTTTAAATTTATTTGTTAAGCAGTAAGTTTTAGAGCTTTCAGATTGTGTAATCAAAGCTCTTTAAGATGGTAAATAGATTTCAGCTGAATTAGAAGACCCAGCCAAGAAACCTGCTGTTGCTGTGTCCTACCTGATTAGTTGCCCCTTGCATTTTATCCTGTCCTTAGCCCTGTCGTATGGGGTTTGAAACAGCTGCATTTGGGATTGGCAACTTTTCCTGATAAGAATGTATGTTAATACTTGAAATAGTTGAACCAGCTTGGGAACACCAGGCTCTTCCCCAGTTGGAAAAGAAGAGCCCAAAGCACAAGCATCTACTCTATTCAGGGTGGGAAGTAAAAGGAACTGCAGGTAACACTCTTCTAATGTGGATATAGAACTTTAGTTACTATTATGTATTTGTTTTATTGAGGGTACAAGGCATTGGTGTTGGACAGGTAATGTAATGGGGCAGAGCCAGCAGTGGTGTAGAAAGGTAAATAAAAATAATGAAGCTCAGGGAGTTCCCTGTGCCAAAGTAAGGCACAGGGAAATCATGGGGGTTGTCATGTAAATTATGGGAGTTATCATGATCTAGTGAGGAGGTGTCTCTGCCCATGGCAGGGTGGGTTGGGACTAAATGATCTATAAGGTCCATTCCAACCCTTGAATTCTATGATTAAACATGGGTTGAAGGGATCTTAAAGATCATCTAGTTCCAACCCCCCTGCTATGGGCAGAGACACCTTCCACCAGCCCAGGTTGCTCCAAGCCCCATCCAACCTGGCCTGGAACACTCCCAGCGATGGAGCAGCCACAGCTTCTCTGGGCAATCTGTGCCAGTGTCTCAGCACCCTCACAGGGAAGAATTTCTTCCTAACATTCCATCTGTCCCTGCCCTCTGGCAGTGGGAAGCCATTCCCTGTGTCCTGTCAATCCATGCCTTTGACCCAAGTTTCTCTTGAGCTCTCCTGGGGCCCCTTTAGGCACTGGAAGGGGCTCTAAGGTCTCCCTGGAGCCTTCTCTTTTCCAGGCTGAACACCCCCAGCTCTCCCAGCCTGGCTGCAGAGCAGAGGTGCTCCAGCCATCAGAGCATCTTCATGGCCTCCTCTGGACTCACTGCAACAGGTCCATGTTCTTATGTAAAGTGTTTGAGTTCTTCACCCTTATTGGTGTAATCCTCTCAGTGACTAGGTGTGAGCATACCTCTCATACCTGCCTGCTTGGGTTTGTTCTCCTGACCAGATGGATGAGACTAGTAGAAGAGCAGCTGAGGCTGTTGTGCTGGGGCTGTGCCGTGGGGCAGCAGAGGGATGGCAAGGGAATGCTGTGTAACCTGCATTCCTGACGGGAGAGGACGTGTTGCTGTGTCACGCTGGAGCCAGCTGGTCTTCCCCCATGCTGTAATGAAGCCATGGGGTGAGACTTTTTGCCTGAGACCTTCCTGGAGTTCCAACTTCCCACTTGCCTTTTTCCCTCTGAGAGCACATGATGCACATCTGATGCTGAGCCCTATGAATGTGGATGTGCAGATTCTATGATCAAAGCAGCTCTGTGTCCCTGCATTACAGGCTGCAAGTTAAAAAATGGAACAGCAGTTCTGGAGCAGTGTTTCTAGTCAGGTACAAGTGTTCCTTGGTTCCTCACTGTCAGCCAACTGGTGATGTGCCAAAAAAGTAAAAAATAATTGATATTTCTTTTTAAACGTGATGGAATTTTACAGCATTTTAAATGCATTGTGGCATTTTAATACAAGTTCTAGATGTAAAGGTTATTTTAGTTCTTCTGTGCCCTGTAGCAAGCCTAAAATCAACTTTTAATTCAGCTGTGCAGAAGAGCTTACAGACTTCTGTCAGGCAACTCCTGACACGTTCCCAGATCCTGGAAGATGTTCTATTTGTGATGTCAATTGCATTCTTGAAGTTATTTAAGTATTTGTTAAGAATATTTTACTTGTGATTCACCTTCTGAAAAATGTATAGAGACTGAGATTGTCTAAGAACAAGTAAAAAGAAAAAATGTAGGTTATATCCATTTTGGATGCCTCTAAATTTCTCCTTTTCTTTTCCAGATCCATGACACAAAAGTGAGTTCTTTAATTAGTTTCAAAGATCCCAACTGTCAAGAGGAATTTCAAGCTGAAGGGAATGGTGCTTCTATTTTAGTGGCATTAAATGAAGTGGTTAAAACAAGCACCAAAATGCTTTAATATGCAAACTCCCTTTCCAGGAAACTGAGTGATCTTAGCTTTTCTTTATTAACTTGAATTAGAGTGGCTTAACTTTAATTCATTTCAATTTGGAAAGTCATTTCCAGATGGCTTT